TAGTCTGTTTTGGAGAAGGCCCCTTCACTGAGAATTGATGACTTCATTAGGACTTGAATCTGGGGCTTGCAGATTCCTCTCTGTCTGAAGACCACTCACTCAACTTAATGGACCTCATGTTCTTTATTTGTATAATCCAACATGACTATCCTTAATTTTCCAGTCTCACAGGTCACCATTTTTTAATATTTAAATAAAAATAGCTTAAGCTCTGTCCAAGGAGAGGGCATACAGCATGCTGTCTTGCATCCACAAATAATTTGAGATACTCACGAGCTTGTTTGTCCTAGTGGCCTGATGATTTCTCTGATCCATGGTCCCCTCCATTCCCCCCATTCTTGTTGCTTATGTTCTGTCTTCTCTTCATCCTCACTAGCTAATGCATGAGGCATCACCACAGTGACAAGCTCTTGGAATGACTCAAGCCATGTTTTTAAGGATTAAGAGTACAGGGAACTTACAATAATACAGGCCAGTCTACCTCCCATCACAGAATCATAGCTTCCTAATGCTTTAAATGCAAACCCTAGACAACTGTTCTCTATAGTCTTCAATCTTCTAGAAACTTCTGTCTGTTCACCTCAGGAATCTCTACATTCCCAGTGTGGCTCAGTATCATCCACTTCACATCACCTTTTCCAATAGCTTTCAAGTTCTCACAATCTCTTGTCATTTTATAGCTTGTTTTCCCTTCACCTGTTATCTTGAGCATTAATAAGCATTTAACATGCAAGATTCATAAAGATGGTTTATATATAAGGGTTCATTCACTGCTCCCAATCACTAGGACAGAAAAATGCTGCTACCAGTCATTATAGGATCATCTTCCTAAAGGTAGCTGCCTTGCTCACCAATGATTTAAGGAAGCAGAACCTTCCTTGAAGAAACAGAGTTGATTTTTTTCATTTTACATAGCAAAGCATTTCCTTCCTACACCTGCTCTTTAGAGGAAGTGAGGAGAGCATGTGGACAAGAGTATGCCAACTGCCAGGCCTAAACTAAGCATCAGGGCTTCCTGTAGGAGCAGTGTGATTGCTTTCAGTTTTGACTGGCAGTCTTCCCATCTCCCTCTTTTTGGAAACAGTAATTTTCTTAAAAGATGGGATCTACTGCTCTAAACTCACCATCAGATTCCCCCTGCATTCAGAAGAACATCCAGTGTGTTCCTTGGAACCAATGGGACTTACTTTCTCAGTCTTTCTGACTTCTTCAACCATATCTTGTCACTCTCTTGTTTACCACAAACTGTTGTATTGACCTCCCTTCACTACTGTGGATATTTCATTCAAGTGTAGTCACATAATACTTATCTTCTTATGGTTGGCTTCACACCTGTAATTCTAGCTACTCAGAAGGCTGAGATCTGAGGATCACAGTTCAAAGCCAGCCCAGTCAGGAAAGGCCATGAGACTCTTATCTCCAATTAACAACCAGAAAACCAGAAGTGGTGCTGTAGCGTCAGTGGTAGAGCTCTCACCTTGGGCTGAAGAGCTCAGGGATGGCACCCAGACCCAGAATGCAAGCCTCATGACCAAAAAGAAAAATCAACTTGAATGTTGACAGCACTCTCTCTCCCTATTTTTGTGGAACAGTTTGTATAGCCTGTGAAGAACTCAAGTTCCCATAAGCCTCTTTGCACAGAAAGCAAGACAGGGCTACTCCAGTGCCTTAACCTCTTATTAACAGCTCTCAGTAAAGTAGAACCCACTTGCTCCTGCAAATGAAGTGGAGAGTCTATGTCATCTGAACTACCAGATGTTGGTGGAGCATCTTAACCTCTCTGCTAACCAGTCTAAACAAACATCGTAATTGCCTTGCAATGTGATCTTAAGCAAATTACTTGGCTCCACATAGTTCAGTCAACTCATTTGTAAAATGACAAAAATGATCACTTCCAGGCTAATGTGAGATGTGAAATAGCCAAGTATTTTCCATTCAAGCAATATTCATTCCTAGTCCCTGTTTCCTTCAACAAAACCAGATTTTCCAAACACATCTTTCTGACCCAGTAAAAGCTGCATCTATTACTAAATCTTTCAGCGACCTTTCTCCATTGATGCCCTTTCCTATTTGACAAAAAGAACTGTTACACAGGGTCCCCTGGTTTGGGAGATGAGTTCTACATGGAGGCTCCAAAATATTTATGGAGCATGTCAAAAGTCACATCAGATACACTTATTTCATGAATGCACTCAGAAAATAGAGACTGTCATCTCCAAGAAGTTCACACCAAGAAGTTTTGGACAGAAGGGCCAATAGCAGGCAGATATGCAACTAGAACAGTTCCAGACATCAGTAACTATGTATCCTCTGTGCTCCTGCATCTCCTGTAAGTGGGCCTCTGTTGGCATAATCCAGGAAGAGAGGAATATTGAACTGAATCAGCCACTCCTCTCAACCATGCATTCCACTGAGTATTGGGTTTCAATCTGGATCTCCTATCACAGTGTGCATAGCAGGTTCTCAAGTATTCATGCAATTAATACATAAAATTTCAATATATTTTCAAAGCTTAATGTAACTAAAACTTCATTATGTTCAAGCATAAGTCAACCACAATTTTAATTGAAACAGATCTTTTCCAACATTGCTGTTTGCTGGGCTTTGGTAGCTTATACCTGTAATCCTAGTTACTCAGGGGAATATGAGGCCCGAGGCAGGGAAGTGTTGAGATTCTTAATTTCCAGTCTACCACCAAAAGGCTGAAAATGAAGCTGTGGCTCAGCAGTGGAGTGCTAGCTTTGAACAAAACTGTTGAAGGATAGCGCTCAGACCCTGAGTTCAAGCCCCAGGACTGGCACAGAAAAAAAGAAAAAATTGGGCTGGGCTCGGTGGCTCCATGGTAGAGTGCTTGCCTAGCACGCATGAAGTCCCGGGTTCCATTCCTCAGGACCACATAAACAGAAAAAGCTGGAAGTGGTGCTGTGGCTCAAGAGGTAGATTGCTAGCCTTGGCAAAAGAAGCTCAGGGACAGTGGCCAGGACGTTCAAGCCCCAGGACTGGCAAAAAGGAAAAAAAAAATTGTTTTTCTTACACAGTCAAGATTTTATGGGAAAGTGGGTCCTAATAGGAAACTGAAAGACCCTAAATCAAGGATTAAGAAGATAATCTTTATGGCATCTTATTGTCTCCTGAGTTTTGCTGAAAAACCAATTTTATAAACCCAGTCTACCAACAGGTAAGTGTAAAGTGTTTGCAGACTATTCAGGGTTCCACAAGGGATAGTACTTTGTAATTAAAAAAACCTTTAGTATCAACTCAGTGCTCAGATGAACTGATGTTTCCTGATTGCAAAGCAAAGAGTTGGGCTGTCTTACATAGAAAAACAGTCAGGAGGGCAATTTGCAGTTATAGGAAAAACGGGAAAACCAGGCTCAGACAGGAATCAACCAAAGCAAAGTAAAGACACAGCCCACAACTCTGTCTAGGAGGCTGCCACTACCACTCTCGCCCCAGTCACTGCTATCACATCACTAGAAGAGAGGACCTAACACTTAGAAGAGAGGACCTCTAACTGACCCTACAGTTTTGTTTCAGGATCTAAGATTCAAAGTCCGGCATAAGCATTGACTGACTACATCTGAAAATTTGTTACATTTCTGGATGTAAAGGCAGGTGACTCCTACTACTCTACTTCCATATAGTGGAGTAGACTGCCCTCTGTTCTGTTTTACATCAAGCAAAATAGGTAAGATACACTAGAGCAAGAAGAAAAAAAATCACTCATGCATCTTGTCCAAAGTAAACAGCCATAAAAAGCTTTTCTCTTTTTCTCTTGAAACTCAGATGGACTTCTTGGTTTTTGGAGCCCTATCTATTTAACACTGCTACCCTAACTACGGCAGCCTTAGTGTGAAATGTTCCAACTTTACATAAATCAGTAGGTTTTTTTTAAAATGAAAAGAAAAAAAAATTATCAGAATCAGTGTGGTACCTCTAACTTCACTCAAGAATATATTTTGTAGACATGATCAACTGCTATGTGGGGAAATAACTTCTAAATTTTATAACAGCGTTAGCATTTGACATGTTTTGGACATGCATTATTATATATTTTTCAACTAAAAAAGTATAAAATCTTTTGTCTCCCTCTGCTATTCCTACTCACTTCTCTTCCCTGACACAGCCAGTTGTAAGCAAGATCCACTGTTTCACCAACTCACTCTCCCCGATCTGTCAACCAAATTCTTCACTGCCCTTCTTTACTCAGGTCACATTCTCTTTGGCTTTAAAAACAAAAAAATAAAAACAAGTTAGTTTCACTGGTCACCTTCAATTACGTAAATATGTTTTTCATTTAATCCTCAAATCTTGTCATTTCAGAGAGAAACTACAGTCAAAAAGATTAAGATCGTAATGTAGAAGCTTGAATTAAACTGAAAAATACAAGATTTGATGACAATAAATAAAATCTTTGATTAATAGATAAAACTTGCATGTTTTCTGGTCTATAACAAGATTAAAAATTACAAAAACTCTTAATGATTTACTTAACTATAAAATTAAAATACCTATTTAATACTTTCTAACACAAAATATATTTAATATAATACAAATATCAATAATTCAATTCTCCTAATAACCAAATATTTTAAAACTCTGAACTAAGAGGAAAAGACAGCTAAACAAAGAAATAATTTAAAATGTTCTTGAGTAATTTTATCCTCAGAAACTTATACTTTGGAATAAAAATATTCGCCTAAAACAACATGCTAATTCTTTCCATTTTAATTTACCTTAGTTGGTGTCAATTCAGCCCAACCTAAATTTCTATGGGGCTAGAAGATGTTTCAAAAGCTATTTAAAAAAATCTTCAACGTCCTAGTAATTTAGACTGACATCCCAACCTACCTGTTAGAGGTAGAGTTTAATGATACCTATATTTTTGTTAAACTTATCCTCATTTACAAAGTAAACCATTTTCCTTTCTGAATTGTATAATTTTATTCAGATGTCTATATAACAATGTCATAGACTCGTAAGCAAAGCAAGCAGCATTACTTTTTTTAAATAACATCTTTAATTAAAGTTTTTGCAAAGGTAAAATATTAAACTTAAAATAGGTCTTAGTACATCAAAATACTAAGTTTTCTTCTAATTGTATTCCAAGATGGTCTTTAAAACATAATGTCCCATATATCACAGAAGAGCAACCTTGATCTGCAATTGTACAGAATGAATTTTACAAACATAATAAATATATTTACGCCCTTACACATAACAGAGTATATATGTACAACAGCAGTTGACAATAATAGCTCAGAACAGCAAAAAGGATTAGCTTCCTCCCCACAGGGTGTAGCCCTGATGCATACTGGACTGATTTAAGAAAACTTGCCTGAAAAAGTAGTTTACTAACTTAATGTAGTTCTTCCTTTAAAGGAAAACATTTTTGTTCTTCAAAATAAACAGATACTCAGTTTGATGTGTTCTTCCTTTTAACCACATAAAATGACAAAAAGTCTAAGGCAGGCTTCAAAAGGGAAGACTATAAACTTCAGAATAATTTCCATAGCATAATAGATTAAATGCAAAACTAACATAAACCCATAAGGAAATGTATTTACAAAGTAACTATTTTTAACCAACAAATTAAAAACGTGCTAGAGTTGATTCAGACAGGTAGGTAGGAGACAGATATATGAAATGAAAATGTACAAAGACAGATCAGTAAAATATTACATTGCACAAAAGCTCAAAAAAGCTCAAGATGAAATTATTCGAAAATATAGGAATTTTCTCAGAAGAAAATGTTGTTATAAAGGGAACTTCAAAGAAAAAATTAGATTCTCCTACACAAAGCAATTACCCTCTGATAATAATGGTGACATTATTGCTATAATAATAATTTAAAAAATTACTTACAGGGAGACAACTCCTTTCATTCCTCCATAAAAGCCAGAAGAAAAAAAAATCCTTGATTTTCAATATAGAAAAGAAAGTCTTTATATAAAAAGCCATTATATTTTTGTTATTTTCTAATACTAGAATGTATTATGCTTTTCAAAAACACATTTTAACCACTGTACACATTGCTCAAATCTTGATGCAATAGCAGAACATTAGTGGCTTTCACTTTTAAAAAGGCAGCAGTATAAATGTGACTTATGATGACATTTAATTAACAGAAAGAAATGTGAGCATTCCAAAAAAATATAAAAGCCCAACAAAAAGATCCCTCATTGTGACATTTTAGTCTAGAAACTAATTGCACATTACAGTGGTGTTAGTACATGTGGCAGCTCTACAGAAATTACACGCGCTCTCAGCCGTTCAAGTGGTCTGATTGACAAAAGACCACCAAGGAAGTTCGTATACTGAAAGGCACACATTTCCACATTAGTCATTTGGTGTTGTTTTCCTTACCACTTTATTTAATGTTAATTTTTATGTAAAAGGTGTCATCACCATTTGTGCAAATCTCAACAGATCATCATCTGAAACCAAGTTTGAATTATTTCTTTCTTTTGGCTAAATGTGCTACTTTCATCTTAAATTTTTCAAAGTGGGACTCCCTTCGCCTATTCAAAGGAATGACATCTTAATGGAACCTAATGAAATGATGTAAATATTAAGAGCATTGAAATGTAAAGCAACTGACATTTATACAACAAAAGCAACTATCATAAAAATAAAACTTCTTGATTAAAAAGGAATACAAGCTACTTTAAAAAATTTTTAAAGAAAAAAAAAGGAATACAATGCAATCGTATATAAGAGCACAATTTGGTATGCAGTGTTGTTTGAACCAGCTTTTAGTTTTCATAGGTAAAAGAAAAACATTTGCCAAGTATGCTACACTTAATATGCAATACACAGGTGCAAATACAAATGGTTAGTTCCTGTTTCAAAATAAGCCTCATGAGTCATTCTGCAAGCAGTGGTTGTTCATGTTTGCAAATAAGAGCTTTTAAAAACAGGCCAGCATATAATATGCTACTATGAATATATGGATGCTTATCTACAAAGAAGGACCAAGCCATGTGCTGACTATAATACAGTAATCCAAGTTTCAGTAGCTAAGAACTACTAAATAACTGGAGTTTCATTTAAGCAACATTGCAACACTGCTAAACTTTCATAGGTAGTTTAGATCATTGCCTTCTTCATTGAGTAAATAGAAACCTTTTAGTAACTATACTGTTCTTCCTTTAACCACACAAAATGGCTTTTAAGAATTTTTTACGCCCTCCTCCCAGTCTTAACAAACAATAAAACTGTGCTATTTGAGTGGTAACAAACATCACCCAGAAAGCAAAATTAATCATAAAAATTAAAACTATTAGCAGTTATGGTATCTATATAAAACATAACTACAGCATGCTAGATAATACCATTTATACCAAATCTCAGATAAGTTAAAGAGAACAAACTGGTAAGTGAGGCGGAAAGTAAGCCAAAAAGGAAAATAAAAAATTGAGTAGCTTTTTGTTGAAAATATTTGACGACTTCCGTTAAAACAAAGTAAGAAACACTATATAATAGCTCACAGTTTTCTCCTTGGTAATAAAGTGTTTATCTGATTCTTCTAGAAACACATAAAGGCAAACTAAAGGCAAAAATGGAAGACAAATATTTTATATATATATATATATATGAAAAAAATGGGAATTTTGTCAAAATATGTGGAAAGCAGAATTACTAGAAACAAAAAGGTAGAGGTGAGCGTTGCTGCAGGTCTCCCAGGCAGCTGATTCACACTGAACACAGCAATGCCACACTGTTCTTTATAGAGTCTATTGCAGAAATAGAGCTACCCATTCTTAATATACATATTAAATTTCTATTATTTTTAATATACAAGTCAAATTTCTGTTTTTTTTTTTCCAATGTGCAAACTGGAGCCTGTATTATCAGTGGCCAGAGAGTCTGTATTATCAGTGGCCAGGAAGGGCCACCCAATTAAAGAGGTAAATATGTACTTAGTGGCCCACCTCCCTCTACCCACCCCTGTGCCCCCCTCAATTACAAAGTTGCTTTTAAAAACTTTGTTAAATTAAAATAATAGTTTTAAATTCTTTACTAGTAAACACAAGAAACTTCTATAATTACTAAATTTTTTAATAAAAATTCAGATCCTCATCACCTGCCCTTATGCTTTAATGTACAGAATGTCATCTGACTGTTTAAAGACCATATATTTATATGTAAGCACACACTTCCACCCAAGAAAACTCTCCATATATTCATGTCTATTTAATATTTAACTAGATGTTACCATTGGGAAATAAAAATATATTCTTGATGAGTCAATCTGGGGTTTCATTTTGAAGTATGGGGGGAAAAAAAAACAAGTTTTTTAGTAAGGAAATTAAAGTTGCCATTTTAATTCCATTCAACTCAGATAAGACCTAAGTCTTCAAATTACATTTAACAAGTATGAAAACCTAATTAAAATATCCATTTCTGGGTCAAACTGTCTTCAAACTGTGATCACTTATTATTTCCTGTACATCTTAAATAGATGTTTCATAAAGCAAAGAAGAGGTATATATTATTGAGGGTGAATAACAAGTAAAAAATATTTAAGACCTATTCCGTGTTTTAAACTGTTTCCTTATACAAGTGAATTAAAATTCAACACCATAATTTTGCCCTTTTGTAAAAAGCTCACGCGCAATTTATACCAAATATAACCACATACAATAAGCAATTTCAGTTCAATCTATCAAAAGGGAAGTTTCTTCAATTCATTCCAACAAGTAACTTCTGGTTGAGCTCAAGTTGGAGGCAGGTATATAGACAAAGCTTTACATGCTAATTACCAGTGGCAGGTTCTTGTATTTAAAATTGACAATTATGGTTCTCCTACACAAAACCCTTCCCTCCCACCCCAAGTATCCCAGGTGCTACAGTTCCATGGCTTGCCAGTTAGAAGTAGTGTCTATGTCGTCAAGGTCTATCTTTGTTCCAGTAGCTTTGTTTCTACTGCACTTTGCGGACATGCAGAAGTGAAGTTTTGGTTGATATATGTCCAAGTTTCAAACCGTCCACTTTAAATTTTTTTAAGTTTCTTTTGTTTTATTTATAAAAGAAAAGAAACAACTCTTCACCATTCTGCATCTCCAATGGCTTTGGAAAATATATAATCTCTTCCATTAAGATTCATGATGCCATCCTTGAGATGAAATTTCCATTTATTTTTACTCCTGTGTATCTAAACCAAGACAAAATTAAGAAAATGTAAGATACAATCAAACAAATTAAAAAACGACAAAAATCTTACAAGTTTGTCTTAATATTGGATCTGTAGCTCTATGATATAACCATTCACTAAATGGGTTTTTTAAAATAATTTATATATAACTAGTATTCTTGTACAGTACACTATATTTATTCACTAAAGTAGTTAATTTTTATAAGTAATCCAATTATGATCTATTTTGCTAAAACTTTTTATAATGATTGTAAGACTCAACATGGAAGTTTTCATATGACAACGTAGGTTAGGTGTGTACACTGAAGAAATTTTCTGAGATCTGACTTTCAAAGTCCATGGCTTCTCCTACCATTGCCGCTCTCTATGGTAATACTCTTGGCAAATAGCTGTTCAATGTCTGCTCAACTGATCTGAAGTAGGGAGTAGAGAACTGTAAATTAAATTATTCTTTTTTAGGACAGTTCCCTTGTGTATCTTTTGTATTTTACCTCTTACTAACCATGTGAATGTTAAAGGTCTATTTTTATTTGAACAAAAGTGAAAAGTACAATTTGAGCAGCAATTCATTTACTTTCCTTTATGAAGGAGTGTTCCAAATACAGAGGAAGGCCTCTTAAATTTCCCAATGAAAAATATGTCAAAGCAGAATAACCTATAAAGGTGAAGGCTCTATAGTTTATATCATTTTCACCAAGTGTTCCAACAGTCCTTATTTACTTACTGGTCACATCATTAGCATTTAACTAAGATTCTGACTTAACATTTGGAAACCTTTGTATCCTTTCTGTGATCTCCCTAAAACTGACTCTCATTGAAATCCTAAAGATTAAACTTTAAAATTAAACTAAAATTCATGGAGACTCAAAGCACATTCAACTTCATTTAATATAGTATAAAACACACTACTATTTTTTTTGTTGGTTGAAAAATCAACCCTACTACTTAGATTGAAGTATTCAATCTAATTCTTAAAATTAGACCTCTGAACACTTTAAGACTTTATTGTTCAGCATTAGCTTAAAACATTAGTGTATCTAGTAGCAAACTAAACCAATTTTAACCTTTTAATGTATTTTGTGTTCAGTTTATATCCAAGGAACACACAACCATTTCCTTACAATAAAAAAATCCTTAAAAAAGAATTTTATTCAGTATCATTCTCTTGCCTGATGAATTTTACATTTTTATCACAAAATTGTGTTTTGGATAATTTGGTTGCACACAATTTCTGTCTAACTTCATGACAAATATTTGTTGATATCTGCTTTAATATTAACCTCACACTCTTACTGTATGTGTATAAATAAATCACATATTTTTAAGGTTCATAATACTGAGTATTAAGAAAACTCAAAAGGCATAATGCACAAAAGCAGATGCTTTTATAAAACTCTCAATAACTTCATTGACTTAATTTTGTAAACATACCTGGCCTGATTTTACTTTTTAATTAAGAAATTGTATTGTGTTTAGCATTCTACCTATAGATCTGTTTACAATTGGCATAGCTACCTATTATATTCATGTATATAAAAGCAACATAAATTTAAGTTTCATGCTGGACAAATTTTGCATATTCATGACTACAGCTCCAGGGCTCAGAACTGTCTAGTAGTCCTAGGTATTCAAAAACTATTTGCTAAATGAATAAATTGATTTCAAACAAGATCAAATTGCTTGTTAAGTTTTCAGCATTTGGTAAGGACCTCTGCTGAAACTGAATTTAAAATGTAAATTGATGTTACAAATTAGTGTTAAAAAATAAAATGTACTCCAATTATGTACCTTCATTATATGCAATAACTATTTTTAAAAAATAATCTTGGAAAAAAGCACCATTAACAATACAGACAGGAGCTAATGGTTCATGCCTGTAATTAATTATAGCTATTCAGGAGTCTGAGATCTGAAGATCACAGTTCAAAGCCAGCAGGGCAGGAAAATCTGTAGTCTTATCTCTAATTAAACCACTGGAAAGCTGGAAGTGGAGCTATGGCTCAAGTAGAAGAATGTTAGCCTTGAGCAGAAAAGCTCAGGGACAGTGCACAGGTACCACACTTTTAACCCTAGCTACACAGAAAACTGCTAGGATTGAGGTTTGAAGATAGTCCAGGCAGAACAACCTGGAAGATTTATCTCCAATTAGCCAGCAAAAATTGTGGAATGAAAACATAGCTCAAGGGTAGAATGCTAGCTATGAGCAAGAAAGTGGAGCAAGAGTGAGAGGCTCAGAGTTCAAGCCTTCAAGCCTTAGTACCAGCACAAAATAACAATAACACCGCCCCCCCACCCACTCCCAGTAATTCCCATTAAAACTTTAAATGTTCTTAATAGTATCAAAGTACAACAGTTAAATAAATTTTAAGTGATTTTCATAAAACCTAACATTCATTGGATTTCAGTTATTGTCCTAGTTCCTCTTAATAAAAAGGAAAAAAAAGTTAGAGATTCAATTATCTTTTAGATTTGAGTAGTTGAAGGTAATTATTGCTGTTAAAAGACAATCTCTAAATGGAAAAAAGATTACAACCCTCTCCATTTCATTGTTTTTTCAAATTTTATAAAGGTAAGAAATTGTTTTATTCATACTACTGAAAACAGTCCATGAAAACTGTAACAATTTATCATTTATTTCATAAAAAAATGAAGCAGTTGCCTAAATGTTTCAAAGAGATCAAAAGAATGGTTTAAAGATGAGGTTGGGAATATTGCTTAGCAGTAGACTGCTTGCCTAGTATGCATGAAGTCCTGGGTTCAATTCCTCAGCACCACATAAATGGAATAAGCTGAAAATGGTGATGTGGCTCAATTGGTAGAGTACTAGCCTTGAGCAAAAGAAGCTCAAGGACAGTGCCCAAGCCCTGAGTTCAAGCCCCAGGACTGGCAGAAAGAAAGAAAGAAAGAAAGAAAGAAAGAAAGAAAGAAAGAAAGAAAGAAAGAAAGAAAGAAAGAAAGAAAGAAAGAAAGAAAGAAAGAAATTCCAACAAATCATTTCAGTCATCTGAAGATGAAACCCTTACCTTATCATATTGGCATACAACAACATTTTCTGTGTCAAAGAGTTCCTGTCCTTCCTCGTCACTCACGTCATCTTCACTATTGAGGGGCTCCTACAAATAAAGAGAATTTATAACCGTATTTCCTATGTAGTCTATCTAGTACTTAATGATAAAAACACAATGAATATGATGCTCTTCAAGAACAAGTGCCAAATACATATTTATATGCACTATAAACCTATTACTAATCAATTTCTATTCTAGGTTTGCCAATGTTAATTTCATCAAGAAATTAAATACAATTAGAATAGTTAAGGAATATAACTTCAAGTAAAAGTTCAACTTTCTTTTATTCTTTAGCATTAGCACCAGAAAGTAATTTTCCACAGTAACTGCTTAAGAAATAAACCTGAAACAGAAATTTTTATGAGGCAATAGTAACAATAAAAGTGCAAATTGGTGAAACTGGAAGAGGGCAACATAAAAGACTGGCGCTGAGCTTGGGATTCCACATTAAGGACGAGCTCTCTCAATACAAATTAACATTTCCATCATTTTGATGGTTATGGCAGAAGCATAAAATTTAAGACTGAAAAAAATCTCAAGTTAAGAGTCAAAATAAAACCTGACTCAAATAACTCATTTATGATAAAAGACAAAAGCTAAAACTCAGATTCCTAACAAATGTAGAAAAAGACTGGACAAAATACAAGAAAAGAAAATAATAGGCCACTAAAAATAGGCCTATGCTTATTCAAACACATGTATATGCAAACATATACTCTTTTATTCAATTTAGAAAAAATGTAAGGTGAAAAGCCAAGGTAAAATGAAAAAGTAGGGGCTGGGAAGGTGGCTCAGTGGTAGAGCGCTTGCCTTGCATGCATGAGGCCCTGGGTTCGATTCCTCAGCACCACATAAGCAAAAAAGAAAAAAGCCGGAAGTAGTGCTGTGGCTCAAGTGGTAGAGCACTAGCCTTGAGCTGAAGAGCTGAGGGACAGTACCCAGGCCCAGAGTTCAGGCCCCACGACCGGACCCCCCCCAAAAAATTTTTTTAATGAAAAAGTATATTGAGTTAACAGTTTAATTCACTTAAGTAACCATTCTAACCCTTTTAAAGTGTATAATTCAGACGTACTGGCAACACTCACAATGCAACTATCAATAATTAGTCCCAGGAAATTTTACTTTTATTTATTAAGCAATCACTCTATTCCATCCTGTCTCCGGGCAAGAACCAATCTGCTAATTTATGTCTTTACAATGTCTTTACAATTCTAGACATTTCATATAAATGGAGCTATACAAAATATAGTCTTTGTGCCTTTTTCATAAGATGATCAACATTACTTTCTTTTTAACTTACTGTCATCTAACTAGGTATGAAGTGGCATCTAACTATGGTATTGCATTCCTCTAATGACTAATGATGCTCAACATCTTTTTCATTTTCATGTACTTGTGAGCTACTTGCCTATCATCTTTGGAAAAATGTCTATTAATCTTTTGGATTTGTTTATTCATTTAACAGTAGTGCTGGGATTTTAACCCAGGACCTCACATTAACTCTTGACCTATGTCCACATCCATACCACCGGCTACAATGCCAGTTTGTTCACTTTAGTTATGCTTTGAATAGGATCTCATGTTCTTTCCAGGCTGATCTAGACTTCAACCTTTCTTTTATGCCAACGATGTAACTAGAAGTGCCAAGCCATACCATCATGCCCAGCTTTTTTTATTGGTTGAGATGGGGGTCCTACTTTTTCCCTAGGCTGGTCTCAAAGAGCCTATTGACCTCTGCCTACCTATCTCAAGCAGCTAGGATTCCAGGTATGAGCAGTTGTATTTGTCTTTAGCCATTTTGGGGTTGTTTTTTCATTGTTGAGCTGTTCTTTATATATTTTAGACACTGGATTCTTGTCAAAAACTACTTGCTAATATTTTTCCTACGTTGTAGATTACTTTTACTTTTTTAGTGAATTAAAAATGAAGATTAATTTCATCAATGAAAATCCAGATAGTCTTAAAAAAAAAAAACTAATTTATCAGAACAACTTCAAAAAGAAAGAAATACTTGCCCCAGGCCCAAGTGGCTCACACATGCAATCCTACTCAGGAGCCTGAGATCTGAGGACAACAGTTTAAACCAGCCTGGACACAAAAGTCAGTGAGACTCTTTATCTCCAATTAACTACCAAAAAGCTGGAAGTGGAGAGGCAATTCAAGTAGAAGAAAGTTAGCCTTGAGCAAAGAGGCTTAGAGACAGTACCCAGGCTGAGTTTAAGCCACAATACTGGCACACTCAGGTTTGCATGTGTGCGCACAATCACATACATACACAGAAGGAGGGAGGGAGGGCGGGTGGGCTGGTGGGCAGGCAGGCAGGCAGGCAAGGGAGAAGGGAGGGAGAGGGAGGAGGTAGGGAGAGAGGGAGAAAGGAGGGGGAGAGGGAGGAAGGGAGGGAGAGAGGGAGAGCAGGCAGACTTATCAAGAAATTCTAGTTAGGGCAGTATTTTTTTTTTTTTTTGGTCGGTCGTGGGGCTTGAACTCTGGGCCTGGGCGCTGTCCCTCAGCTCTTTCAGCTCAAGGCGAGCGCTCTACCACTTGAGCTACAGCGCCACTTCCGGTTTTCTGGTGGTTTATTGGAGATAGGAGTCTCACGGTCTCTCCTGCCCGGGCTGGCTTTGAACCGCGATCCTCAGATCTCAGCCTCCTGAGTAGCTAGGATTACAGGCGGGAGCCACCAGCGCCCAGCAAGTTAGGGCAGTATTAACCTGAACAAAACAACTTAACAAAGAAACAATACTGGATCAAGTAAAGAGTATCAGTAAGGGTATTAACGTGAAAACCTAACAAGAGAATGAGAAAAGAAAAATCGCAGATTCACACATGAATATAAATATAAAGCTCTGAATGAAGACACACATTTACAAGAATAATAATACACAATGATTAACTTGTGTTACTCCAGCAATGCAAAACTGGTTTGCTTTTCAAAGACCAATTAATGAAATTCACCACAAATTACAGACTATAGGTAAGAAACTATATAATTAATAATTGCTGAAAGTATTTAAGAAAAAATTCAAATTTATTTATAGTTTTAAACCAAAGTAAGTTCTTCACTTATTATAAAAAAGAAAATTCTCATCTGATAAAAGGATACACACAAAATATTAGCAACAAATATTACACTTAAAAGCAAACACCTGATGCTTCATTTCCTTTAATTTTTTTTTTTTGGGGTGCCAGTCCTAGGGCTTGAAACTCAGGGCCTGGCCACTGAATCTAAGCACCTTTCCTCAAGGATGGTGCTCTACCACTGGAGTCACAGCTCCACTCCAGTTTTTCTGGTAGTTAATTGGAGGTAAGTCTCACAGACGTTCCTAACTGAGCTGACATCAAGC